TTCAAACCATGATACAGAATTTTAAACTTTTGTCGCATAAAATGGGTGGTGATAATGGGTGGTGATAACACTTTTTAATTTGTCCACTGCTGGTGGAAAACAGCCTGTATGTTTTCCTTAGGCATGATTGCTTGGTTTAGCTTTCTGTGTGATTTGGTTAATTTTACAGTACATAAAAGAATGTTACACACTGGTATTTGTTTTTTGTTTTTTTGTTTTTTTTTTTGTTTTTTTTTTTTTTTTAATCAAGTGACCAGGTACATACTGTAATTTAGTTTGACCAAAAAAAGTATAATCTGTACCTGGGCTTTAGGGTACTTTTGCTAACAAAAATAAACACCAAATTTCAAAGAAAATTCTACAAAAGAAAACTAAATATTAGATTAAATCCTAATCTTCTTAATAAAAATTTGTTCCAAACTTGTGAAATTACAAACAAAAAAGTATTTGATTCTTTATTTCTAATTAACACAGTGTTAAATTGATTAACAATACCTCTGACAATACCAGCCTGACAAGTCTCAAATCAATACATTCAGACAGCTAGCTGACTAACGAACCAACTGGGGCACCAACCTAATGAATCAAATATGCTTACTCTCATTGTTAAGTCACTGTTGTAATATATTGTTTAAAATAAAGTAAGCTACGAATATGCAATAGCCCCTTGCCTACAGTAAAATGTATTGGCACCAAGTTGGATTGAGTAACTGTGTGAAGCAGGTTTAATCTGCATGCCATATGGCTTAAGTCTGATGACCTTAGCCAGGGCTAGACATGCAAGACAAGAGAAAGATTAAACATAAAAATCTGACACTTTCTCACCCATTCAAGAAAACACCAAAACACTGCCATGTCACAAGAAAAACTTACAGTTAACCTTTAAGAAAGTTTATTATGGATAAAAAAGAATGTCACAACTCATGGTGAGATATAGCCATTATAATAGAAAAATAAAGCTAATGAAAGTTGATGAATAAAATAACTTGTTTTTATTTATCCATTCATGAAAACATATTTTGTAAAGAGAAATTTTAAAAATTTGATAACGATAAATCTTTTCAAGATGAGATATAGCCATTATAATAGAAAAATAAAGCTAATGAAAGTTGATGAATAAAATAACTTGTTTTTATTTATCCATTCATGAAAACATATTTTGTAAAGAGAAATTTAAAAAATTTGATAAAGATAAATCTTTTCAATAATTAAGTCACTGATAACTAATAATTTTTTTAAATGTCCATATAACAAGCGGATCTTCATAAAACATGCTTTATTCTCACTACCAAAAAATACTGGACCATACACTATGTTGTATAAAAAGGTATCATATATACAGTACTAGAAATTGCAATTTTACATACTGTAGACAGACATCAGTCAGCCAGGTTAACTAATTATACCATTAAAACAACAATTAATTTTACATAAATCCCATGCTTTTCATTCACGCTAGACTCAATATAGTGACTCAATACTTAGGTCACATTTCAGCTTGTTAATTGATTATGAAACTGACCTGAGCCACATGTTGATAATAGAGTCAACATTGATATTTACTGTATAGTCATATTCAAGATGGCATAAATGTTATGTGGGACAGGTCACATTCTCAGAGAGAACAAAAGCACCAGACTCTCTATCATATTTCTTTGATTGTTTGACGATTAATGAAAAATAGTGCCTTAGACAGGTCATTAATGTATGATTGGTAGGTCTCACTGAATATATAGCTATGCTAACAGCTGCATCAGTCTAGCCTTGCTGTACAGTATGTCCATGGTAAACTAATCTAACATTTGAAGATTATAGAAAAAGTGTCTATCAATAATGTGCATATGTACAGTATGGACATAATGTATGTTCAGTACTGGATTTGCTGACTTTGTTCCACTTATCAACTCTCCCATCATGTCTACAACAATAGAACATTGAATAGATACATGCATTCAGATGGTTTATTCTCACAAGTATAGAAACCAATTAGCTAGCACTTTGTCTGCAGTAGGCCTATTCCTGCTTTCAATTGTTGGCACCAGGGTAGAGAAAACAGCCCAGAGTCTCTAATTTTGGCACAGTTTCATATTTGTGACCACGTGTTTATACTTATGTCACTATGGCAGTCTAAATATTTCATGTTTGAAAAGCAAAAATTAATTAGTTAGAAAGACAAATCCCACACATGACAATGTCAGAATATTTAATTTGCAATAGAAACTTGAAAAATGTCCTAGGCCTATCTATCATTTATAACTACTGTATGCACATAACTAAGAGACCAATTGAAATTTACATGTCTGTTCATAACAATATGGATATTAACCTCAATTAAATATGCGTTTCTCATGAACAACAGATTAATCAGAGGCATATAAAAACTATATAATATTAAAATATAACAAATAGAGCCTATAACTGCAGTATTTCTACATACATAGGTTTTAAAATGCAAGCTTCAATTAATATTCTTGGAAAAGGATTTAATGGAAGCTTCCAATGAATAACAAGAAGACTTTTCTTGCTGCTATTAATATAGCAAAACTAAACAAACAGATTACACAACATAAATAAATGTAATTAATATATTTTATAAGCTATAATTTGCACTAGAAAAGATATATTAGTTAAAGTTACAGATATAAGCGGACACTTGACAGTAATTGACGGGATCTATAAACAATGGTAAATTGTTTGTTAAATGATGTTACATAGTATACCTTAATATTAAGAATGCTGGGAAAAATATATTTACCGGATTATTATCATTCCAAAACAATGAATGGTAATCTTTACATGTTAATAACCTTAAAGTAAACTTTTATTTTTTTCCCTCAATTTCACATTTTGAACTGCAATTCTAGATTTATTCTACAGTAATTAAAAAAAAAATTCAAAAGGTTTAATGATTATGAACGTTAATTTCATGCACGACAGAAAAGGTTTTGCTATCCTTCAGCAACTTCTTGTAATTCAATTTGGAATCTTTGATATCACATGTTATTTGCCAACAATATTATCAGAGCCTTTAAGGACAGACACACTAGTTATTAATATCCCAAATGATAACTGTCATTTCCCTCAAAATGGCCACTCTCAGGATATCTCATACAATCAAAATTTTAACTCTTGATTTTCTGGAATCATTGTTCAGATAGTATTACCAAATGTCTTCATATCAGAAATTCAATTTTAGGTATATTTATAATTATTATATTTTAGTATTGTAGTTGTTGTACTGTAGGAAGTTACAAAAATACCTTAAAAGTACAGTATGTAATAATATACTAAACAAATTGCATTATCACTTCAGTTTACAGTCTGAATCATCAAAATGCAATTCCCAGCAAAGTGACACTGTCTTATCTGCCTTTCATATAATTTGCAATACTGTACTATATTCTGCATTGCAAGCCTACTAAAGTAAACACATAAAATTTTGATTTCAAGGCCTATTTTTATTAAAAGATTCAATTTTAATCAAGTTTCTAATGTATACAGTACCTTGAATAATTAAACATCTAGATTTATAAATCTACATCTAGAAAAATAAAATTTTTTTGAAATATTAATACTGTAGACCCAGATTACATAATGTGAACTGCTAGGTACCTACTGTTTTACCACTATCTCCCTGTGGTGTGAGACACACTGACTTACAGTACAGTAGGCCTACTAAATGGAATATTGTTAAATAAAAACCAAATGAAAAAAAAATTCACAAACATGTTTTAAGACTAGGCCTAGGCTGGTAATAGTAGGCCTCCTAGGCTAGCTAATAGTACATCCATGTGAGGGCGCTTGTCAAAATCCCAAATAGGAAAGTGTTACCATATCGGAAAAAAATCAGGGTCACAGGGGCCTTTTCCTGGACTCTGATTGGGAATTACAAAAAACAAACACTCGGACGATGTTCTCAGATAGTTTTCGATTCGGAATATGTAATTCCCACCTTCAAAAAACTTAGTGGTGATATGTTTAGAATAATACATACTCCAAATATCGAAATGCACGCCATCGTGTCGGGATTCAATATTTCGACATTAATTATGTCATCATCATATTCCTGATGATGATATAATTAATGTTGAAACATTGAATCCCGACACGATGGCGTGCATTTCGATACTTGGAGTATCTGATGATGACATAATTAATGTCGAAATATTGAATCCCGACACGATGGCGTGCATTTCGATACTTGGAGTATGTATTATAGTATCTTATCTGATTAATCAGTGGACCTTTCGGTTTATATGTTCAGAACGTTCCCAATTTTAATAAAATATGAAAAAAATAGAAAATAACTCGTTCTCAATAAAAATTATGAAAATATCAAAGATAATATATAGTAACTTTAAGTAATGTTATTTTTTATTTAATTTAATAAGACTACTCTGTGCCCCGAATGTTTAAATACCCTACTGTAGGCTAGGTGAAGTATGAGCCACTCTAGTCTAGGCTGCCATTTTATTCAATTTAGCATGACTCTGAAAATATTCAACCAAGTTTTGTCCTATAAACTACAGATTACTCGCATCAATGTGTTCTTTCCACTGAATTAATATATGAAACTATATCTGAAGTCAATTGAAGGATTAACATTTTTGTGTGCTCCTAGCTACCTAGGCCTACCTAGGCCTAGATGCTAAATTCAGTCTCCTCTTAACTTCAGACAGTTTAGCCTCTGTTTCCATTAATCACTTTTTTAATTATATCATGAACTTTAGTCAGGCTCCTCATTTTTTACTCCTCATTTTTTACTCCTCATTCTTTTGGTCTTGAAATGTAGCCAACAATAGCCTCCTACTACCTAAATAATAATATAAATATAGGCCTAGGCTAATTCGGCCTACCTAGGCCCTAACTAGCCTACCCCTAGTTAGAAAATAACAACGTTATTTTTCTCTCTTACTGTGAATTAAGTAATCCGAGACAACCGTTCACTCATCTCAACAGGATAGAAATATTAAAATATTGTTAAATATGTTCATACTTACTATTTTATCTAGGCCTAGGCCCTGGTGCTGAGCTCTGCTCCGCAGTGACAATAATCTCGCTGGACGAACACAATCCTGCATGCCAACGATGAACAATAGTGAAGAGCCATGCGGTCAAACACACACAGGCAATCTGGCTAGCTTGTCAAAAAAATTGGAAAAACACACCTTAAAAATCACTAAAATTGGTAACAAACATGAAAAATAAATTTAAAGAAGATTTCTGCCAACTATGCCGTATACTTTTTCGGGTTTCCGTCGTCATGGTCGCTCAGTTCGCCTTATTCTTTATGTTGGAAAATCGTCATTTCACGAACTTTCTTTCTTTCACCACCATATCCAACATACGGTAGCAGAGCGCACTCTCCTCCACGATCTGTTCAATAATGACGTCATGGTAAAACCATTATCTAAAAGGGCTATGATATAAATATTTTATATACTTTTTATATTTTAGTTCGAGTTTATAATTAATTTTTATACAATTATGCAATATATTAAATATCTAAATTCAATTTTAACTTTGTACGATTAGATTTTTAAAATTGATAACTAATAAATGTTAATTAAAGATATACTTCCCCTTCAAATAATAATGTTGTATTTCGCAACAAGACCTAAAAATACCAAATAGGTTGTTATTTTAATTATTTATGTATTTCGTTCTTTTTTAATAATAAGGGTTATTAATTGATTTTGCCGGGCAATTATATCGGTACCCTCAGATAACTGATTTGAGTGTAGCATGTACATGTGCACATAGTTCGTGAGATTTTTTTTTTGTTTGTTTGTTTGTTTTTTTTTCTGTTAAACCAACATGTATCCCAAATGGTACTGTACAATCTGTGTACAAAACCTATTTATCACGGGTCATCTATTTAGCACAGTCGCATGTGCTTCCACACCAGTGAATGATAAAGTTCGTTTTACAAAATCAGTAAAATACATACCTTATTTTAATTAAATTTTATTTGTGTCCTTCCATGTGTGATGAATTTTCGGCCAAGTTTTATTCATTTATATCATGGAATTAGGCCACCTTATACACCTAGTGAGGTATAATATGCATACTGTATTTTGTTGCACTAGCTAAAAATACTAATAATGAATTAAATTTGGCCTAATTAAAAACTGAACAACATATGACATGGGTGTTCATTATTAGTGTTTTGTCTGGAATTTAACCTTTTAAAAACAGATTATCTATATATTTAAAAAATAAAAAAAAATTAATAGTACTTCTTTGCGACCCGGTGCTTTGATGCCCACTTTCACTTGCTCTAAATAAATATTAAAATATTTATTAAAAATTGAATGACACATACGGTAGTACTACAAGTAGTGTCTAAAACTCCTTTTATTTTGTTTTAGCCTATAGTAGAGACGTTTATTAAAACATGATTTTCATAATAATTTGTGTGTATCAGGGTCTAAAATTATCAACATTTACTGGCTCTACCATCATTATGTTATAATTCAAATAATTAATTATAAGAAAAATATCTTGGAACACCATTTGGCATGGCACAATAGGGGAGGCCTTAGCTAAGTATTGATCCTACTTGAAGAGCATATTCGCTCAAACAAAAAATGAATTACATACAATTTATTCTCAATGTTCTTTACTTTCTTGTTGCATCTAAAATATTAAATAGCGAAATGCACTGTTTATTTTTTACAGGAACAAATTAGGTTAGCCCTTTTAATTTTTGAGCATTTTTTTTTCATATATTACTGAACCTGATAATATATTAAAATTGTTCTGGAAGGTGATAAAAGGTAGGCAATATTTAATTTCATTTCATTTATTTATTCGACCAATACACATTTACAAAAGGTACAGTACAACAAAAATTATCGTCAGGAGCAGCTTAAGCAAAATTTTACTATAACTCATTGAGAGTCAGCTGCCCCATAATATAATCTATGATGTAGTTAGATCTAATTTCTGGTGTCATCGTAGGCACTGTATGTAGGCATACTGTACTGCCAACACAACTATTGGTGGCGCCTTGCCGTCAACAACAGAGACTATACCATCTGTACAGTACTTGCAATTAGAGAGTCAGTGTTCATGGTCATGGTGGTGTTGGCGTTTCATGCGGCGTTCCATACGATACGTCCGCCGTGTCGTTATTATTCAGGCTGGTCGTATCGTATCGTCGCGGGACACCACATGGGCCCGGGAGTTTTAACTCAGTTTATTGCTAATAAAAAGAGTAAATGACAAGAAAAACTAAGGTACACAATTTCTGTATCATTTTGTATTAGGGGTTTCTGTACAAAGACTTTTGGCTGCAGAAATGTTATACAATTATGAAAGAATAGCTAGGCTAGGCCCCGGTTGGACGGATAGACCAGCATTGCAGGTGAGGTTTGAATGCATCGCGCACTGCCGGTGTCATGTGTACCGTAGCTAGGCCTGGCGTTCCGTATATTGCACCATCCTGCCAGGAAACTATCGCTACAATGTCAACATCTATGTATTACCTAAATATTAAGAGTTATATATTTCTTCACATGCCATCGGCTGCAACATTGGTGAATTTTAGGTGTGCTAAAATAAAAAAGAAAGAACTTTCTGAAGCTCGAATTTACTACTATCTTGGGTTAGGACTAAATTGCGCCCTCAACATTCATCACACAAAAAATAATGTTCTATGTAATGAATGTAATGTACTGTATATCTTCCACTGCCAAAAACATTCTACCCACAAGAAACATGAACTAAAGATGACATGAAACTTTGCTTGGAAAACAGGTGTAATTGAATGTAAAGTTGATAATGACTGATATCTAGGTCATAGGACTATGCTGCCAATATATAGGCTAGTCGTGGATCGTGGATATTGTTCTGACGATTTTATGTAAATCTGAGTTGTTCTTGGTGGAGATGAGAAGAATATTCATAGTGATAGTGTAGTATTGTTTTGCGATTTTTTTTTTACTGGAAATGTGCCCTAGTTTCTAAATGCATTTTATATTTAGTATTATAGGATAAGACACTAGGAGGAGTATATTTAGTGAAACAAAGCGATAACCCCTAATTCCAAGGACCTACTTCTTGTGGGGTCCTGGTGGTGAATGGACTTTCCGGTAAGGCCCGCCACTTCGATACTTGCTAAGGTCCCTCAAAATGACTATTTAAAAAAAAAATATAAGTATTCTTGGATCTAATCAGATTGGTCAGTTTTCAGAAAGGTTCATTAATTAGTGGTACACCAAAAAACAATCCTCTTCTCTTTTCTGAAGAGAGCTTAGCTGCTCTTCTAAACAAACAATACTACTTTTTCATTTGTAGATTTTTGCTAAGTAGTCCCAAGATTTGCTATGGCTACAGAAGATGAAACTCAGGAAGACTTTGACAGGAACACACTTGCTGCCCCTGTCAATACTGTCCAGGTCAGCTGAAATGAATATGAATTTGCTCATATTTCTCATAGATTTAATATAACTCTGATAATTCCTAAAAATTATAATGCAGAATTCATTTTAATAAGCCTGTATAGGGTCATCTCACTGGGGTGTCAGTAAAATCCATATTCATTTTCAAAATATAGTTTATAGAATTGCACTTTATGTCTGTATGTAATATAAGCTCCATGGAAATAATATTCAAGATTGTTTTATATTATGTTAGGTTTTCTTTAATATAATATATTTTTGAAGTGGTAACATAGGCCTACAGGTATATAGAAATATTTATTAAGCTTATGGAAACCCAACTGAAACAAACCTCAACATTTTATAAAGTTTTCTGGAAAGTCACATTATGTATTATTGATTTTTATATATTTTTTTTACAATTTCAACTTAATGTACTATGTGAATGTCCAATTATTTTCTGAATTAACTCAATGTTAGTCAAGTTAAAATCAATTTTTTTAGTTTGCATTCATTATATATTTGTTTTATTTAATTCCTACCAAATTATATTATTTTTTAATCATACCAGATTACCTATTGATTTAATTCTTAACCAGATCAGTAATACATTTCTCTACCTGATTATACTGTTGATTTATTCCCCACAGGAAAAATGGAAACTCCTGCCAGCTTTCTTAAAGGTCAGAGGTCTGGTCCGGCAGCATATTGATTCCTTCAATTATTTCATAAATGTAGAAGTAAGTATTGTAGCAATCAACTCTTGATAATCACAGGGAAGTAATCGAGGCACCCAAGTATATGGTTTATTAATTTATTACTTGCAAACCTTAGCCCAGTGCATAAATGAAAAATAGGATAACTTACTAAAAGGCTACCTAAATAGGAGACCCTATATAACATAATATAAAGGATATAAAACTTGCATGCTAAATATCCTATATTTCCCTTCACAGATCAAGAAGATTATGAAGGCAAATGAGAAGGTTGTCAGCAATGCAGATCCCAACTTCTACATGAAGTATGTTCATTTAATCATCAATCAATCAATCAATCAATCAATCAAAACATTTATCAATCAACCAAATGCACAAATATGGACAGTTGTTGGACTCAATCTTTATTTGACATAGGTAACATAGATATATATATGGGGTAGACGGATGGTCAATGGTATTTATATAGCGCCTTCCACAGAAAACCGTCTCAAGGTGCTTTTGAAGCCACAAGAAACAAAGACAAAAGAACGCGAAGTGGGGGGAGGAGTGCGACCCCCGATTTTGAGATAGCGTCGCCATCACTATCATGTACACGTAGGTACCTCGGCGTCAGTTTGCTCGGCTCCGGTAGCTTCCACCAAGGATAAGCCTATGGCTCCCCCTACCGTGCACTGCTAAGTTGGCAGTGCTACCTCAAGTAAGGAGGTGCAACTTTTCAGGGGAAAAAAGGTCTTAACTACAGAACTACTTAACTACAGAAATTTAACTACAGAGATTAACTAATTGGTGCAGCATGATCTGTTTGATTTCCAGACCTCAAGGTCTGAAGTTCCAACCTCATGCTCTCCATTCTCAACCGGCCATGCATAGATACCCCAGCTTGCATTGTTATAAAAGTTGTTGTAAAAGTGGCTTATTGTCATGTTTCAGAATTAGGTGCAAGTAGGCAAGTCGCCCATTTTTTCAAACTTATGCAGCGAACCATTTGATTAGCGAATTTGGAACCCTCTTTAATTTTAGACACCTGAATTATCTAATGTTTGCTATTGCACTATATAATAAAAATCCCATTTCTAGTTCTAATAGTGTTTCACACTCAGTTGTAATATCAGTTTGATGTAGAAAGATTCACTGCAAAGAAAAATGGCAATAATTAAAAGATAAGATATTTCTGGATTCTTCTATCCTCCTTAGGTACCTGAATATATATGTTGGAAAGCCAGATGTTGAAGAAACATTCAGCATCACAAGAGAAACTTCTCCTCACGAATGTCGACTTCGCGACATGACCTACTCAGCTCAGATCAAAGTGGACATTGAATATACCAGAGGTCAGCAGAGGGTCATTCGTAACAATCTACCAATCGGCAGGTATGATATGACTAAATTAATTTTGATTTCTAATACTGTATGTACTACATCTTTACTGTTAGCTTTAAGATATTTTTATAACATCATTGCTTTGTCCAGACTATCAACTTTCGGCAGGATTTTTTGAAGCTATTAATATACTTGACAAAACACTCTACCAATCATTTATTTATTGAGGACTAGCTTATACCCATGCTCCACAGTAAAGTTTCAGAATAAATAAGCGAGTAGCACATAATATTTGCACTGAAATTTTTTTTAAATAGTGGCAAAGGGGCCGGCACGTTACCCCTTCCATGTGCTCTCGCTCTCCCCTACTGGATTCGGGCCTGTTGTATTGATATGCGGCCTACCCTCTTGAAAATACAGCATATATACAGTAGGCCTAGCCTAGTTCGGCATGACAGAAATGTTACTCTTAAATAAAATATGTGGATGCATGCATATTGAGACACGTTAATAATTGGAAGTCTTGATTTTATGTAGGATGCCTATTATGTTGAGAAGTTCAAACTGTATCCTAGCTGGAAAGACCCAATCTGAGCTGGCAAAGCTGAATGAGTGCCCATTAGACCCCGGTGGTTACTTTGTAGTAAAAGGAGTCGAGAAGGTGATCCTGATTCAGGAGCAGTTGTCCAAGAATCGAATGATCGTTGAATCAGACAGGAAAGATGTAGTTTCTTGCACTGTAACCAGGTAAAACAACTGACAACTAGCTCAAATATATAAGTGGAGATGGGTGGTTCAGATGTTTGCTTTCCAAACTGATCATCCTGAGTTCAGATCCTGTAAATATCAGTCATTTTAATAATAATAACATTCCTTTCAGCTAAATGCCCCCCCACCTCCAGAATGGTTTTCTAAGGTAACACAAAATATCAGTCCTTTGTAGAGAAATGAAACCTTAGTAGGAGAGATACTTAAGTACTAAATGAATAACCTTCTTTACTTTGTTTAATTTCAGCTCAACACATGAAAGGAAGAGTAGAACAAGTGTGATCGTTAAAAAAGGAAGATACTACATCAAACACAACACCATGACAGAGGTAGGAATTATATAAATTTCATTAAATAAGGTGGAACAATAAAAACAAACAGTATCATCTACTTTTATAATCTCAAATTGAGGCATGTATTTATTCATATAATGAATTTTATTGAGTTTTATAACCTAACGTTCTGTAAAAGCCACGAAACCTTAGTTTCCATCATCATATTATTTTTCTTGCTTGTATAGTTATTGTTTGGTACTGCCCAATCACCACCAGACATTTGCAGAAAACTGATAAAGGCAGAAGAAGAATTCCTGTTAAAAAGCATAAATACCTATATGGCCCACATTTCTACAAATGCATTACTGGTTTTTGTTGGCATTAATTGTTTATTTCATCTTTATCATTATTTTGTAGGACATACCTGTAGCAGTGGTCTTAAAGGCTATGGGTGTGGAATCCGATCAAGAAATTATTCAGATGATCGGAACTGAAGAGAACATAATTACAGCATTTTCCTCCAGCATTGAAGAGTGCCATCGTCTACAGGTGCTAACACAAATGCAGGTAATGGATGTACACAGGTCACTGGCCTTTAAACCCTTGCATGCCTTTCAGTACACAAGATAATTAAGAAGACTCCCTGAATTTCTCTTGCAGGCTTTGAAGTACATTGGTAGTAAGATAAGACAGCGTAGAATGTGGGGCGGTCCACAGAAGAGCAAGTTAGACGAGGCAAGGGATATTCTGGCTGGCACCATCTTAGCACATGTTCCAGTAAGAATCAGCATGTATTATTTTTGTCCCAAAGCCTCTGTGTAGCTTTACACATTCAGTGATGTGGATTGGTGGTTACAATGCTTGTTCTTCCAATCCTATCATACTGAGCTTATGTATTTTTCTAAAGCCTAAATTAAATCTCTACTACTTAAACTTACAATACACCTTTACCTTATAGGTTGTAAGGTACAATTTTCGTACAAAGTGTTTTTATATTGCCTTAATGGTAAGAAGAGTTATTTTGGCTGAGGGTGACAAGAGAGTCGATGACCGAGATTACTATGGTAACAAGAGGTTGGAGTTGGCAGGACAGGTATGTATTATTGAAGTGATCATTAAAGTTCATGTTTTACATTGTAATGGATATTCCTTACATTTACATTTAATGCTTTTATATTAAATATTCATAAAATTTCATATTTTGTATTTATATTTTTATATTATTATATGTATTATTATGTATTTTGAGCATTTTCATTAAGTTTCTCCTACAAAATTGAACCTTCAATAGATAATTATATTTTGATAATGAATGAATATTAAATATATTTGGCAGCTTCTAGCTTTATTATTCGAAGATCTATTCAAGAAGTTCAACGATGAATTAAAGAAGATAGCAGACCAAACAATTCCAAAACCGAGGGCAGCGCAGTTTGATGTAGTAAAACATATGAGGCAGGACCAGATAACCAATGGCTTAGTCAATGCCATATCAACGGTAAGATTATGCTCAATCAAGGATCCGCTCTTTTATAGGATCAACTCCAATCTCATCTCATTTGTGCTTACTAATTTGAAAATATTACATCTTGTAATTTCAACTGCGCATGTCTGAGTCAAAGGTCAAGGCAATTAATAAACTGTGATTCATTTCTTTGTTTTGTATTTTCAGGGTAATTGGACAGTAAAAAGATTTAAAATGGAAAGAGCTGGTGTGACTCAGGTGCTATCACGACTTTCATATATATCCTGCCTAGGAATGATGACAAGAATTTCTAGTCAGGTAAATATACAATACATTAGTAAATCATACAGTTTTCCTTTGTGTTTCAAGCAAAAAGTATAAGAATATAGAGGGGAAATTCTAAGATTGGTGTGTATTTTAATACTTTTATATAATTTACAATTTTTTTTGGATAATTGTCATGTTTAGTTACTATTTAAACTTCTGGTATAACAATTGATTTTTTCCTCTTATATCAGTTTGAAAAGACCAGGAAAGTTAGTGGACCACGTTCTTTGCAGCCCTCACAGTGGGGAATGTTATGCCCCTCAGATACGCCGGAAGGAGAGGTAGCTATCTCTTTATGTACTTGTAATTTTAAATATTCTGTTATTTCATCTGTCATCTTGTAAGTAATAAGTTGATACTAAAATTATTGTTGTTATTATTGTTATCAGTGTTACCCAACTTTAATCTCTGTGTTGGTTGGACTTGGTCAATTTTATAGGCCTGTGGATTGGTAAAGAACCTTGCTTTAATGACACACATTACCACCGACATTGAGGAGGGACCAATCGTCCGGCTGGCTTTCAATCTTGGAGTGGAAGACATAAATTTGATGTCTGGAGAAGAACTCAGCTCATCTGGAATGTACATAGTGTTTCTTAATGGTAGGTGTCAATGGTACTACAGACTTTTTATGTTTAATGATTACACAAAAAGTGTATGAAGTGGGGCTTAGCTGTCCAATATGGTTTTGAAAGATTCCTGGTGAACATCTAGGTTTGGGGGCTAAGAAAAACTGAGAAGTTTGGCCATTTCAATTTGTTCTGAGACATTTTTTAGAACATATTATGCCCACAAAAAATATCTATTCTGGTGTGGGAGGATCTTAAGTCCTCTTGCCCCTGAACATCACCACTGGGTTTTAACAGAAGGCCATGGGAGTGAAGTATGGACATCTTAGGCATTTTAGGTAGGCCTTGTATGCACAATTTTATTCATATCTATTTCCTTCTTGATTTTCTTCCAGGTAATATTTTAGGGGCAATTACAAAGTATACAAGGTTGATCCAGACTTTTCGTCTAATGAGGAGGGCAGGATTTATCAACGAGTTCATCTCAATCTGCCCAAACCATGCTCAGCAGTGTGTGAATATAGCTTCAGATGGTGGACGTGTTTGTAGGTACGAAGCTTTTGACTTTAATTAATTTGCTATCTATGTATCCTCCTTGCACATAATGACTTAGAACTTAAATATACCGTCTCCACATTGGCTGGTTGGTAGCTTCCTTCAATTTTAGTGATATTCCTACTCTTTGTTTTCCCACAAGCTGTTCAAATCTTTGCTTTCATTTATTTTCAGTTTTATTCTCATTAGCTATATTTTTATCTAATATTGCAAAGACACTCACAAGCCAAATTGTATGAAATGATTGTTTTGAAATAATTTATGATAAACATTCACTTACACGTACAGCTAATGATATAAAGCAAAACATAGAAATCATACCATATTTGTCTGTTTGTATTTTTGCAGGCCATATATTATAGTAAACAAAGGCCAGCCACTAGTAACAGAAGAGCATATTAAGGAGCTAACTCAAGGCATACGGAGCTTTGATGATTTCCTGAGAGAAGGCCTGGTTGAGTACCTGGATGTGAATGAGGAAAGTGACAGCGAGATTGCACTGTATGAAAAGCAAATCACAAGGTATGCAAATTATTAAATAATTTATTAACAATGATGGTACATTGAAACATATCTTTACATTCGGTACTTTTACAAGCCATAATAATAATGCCAAATATTTATATAACGCCAATTTAAAATCAAAGGCGCTGAGCGTTATTACTCCTTGTCACTGGATAACATATGGTGGCAAACCAGCACAAAGTGCAACCTTCTCTGCTTCCTGGGGAGTAAACCTAGTCGTGCGCTTGTACTTAGCGCATTAAACTAGTACATTCAATGCCACAACATTCTACTAGGTACCCATTTATTCTCCTGGGTAGAGAGAGTCAAATGTAGATAAACTGCCTTGCCTAAGGACACAAGCAACTTGCTCAGTGAGAGTTTTGAACCCCTGGCCTCAAGGTTGGGAGTCCAAGCCACAACCAATACTCCAACCGCTTCTACAAGTTATTCTTCCATATGGTTGCATCTTACACATACTGAACTGCTAGTAAAACTATATATGACAAAACAACAATTACAAACTTACTATTTATATTAAAACTTAATCAAGGTGATCTTTTTGTAAGTCATCAAGCGTGAGAGGGCTCAACCGGTTGGGAGCAAAATAAAACGAACAAAGTAGACAAACTTTGAAAAATTCCATATGCATTTATTACTACAAGTTTGTTTCGTATGGACAGCTGTTAAAAGCTGCCCACACTCATAATTTGTAAACCAAAATTATGCACATTAAATAACAGAAATGAATTGGTAACTTCATGTAGACACAGAAAAAAGCATCTATTGTGTAACAACTAAGCAATATTAACACCTCAGTTTGACAATGGTAGGAACCATAGCAACGTATTTTCCCCATATCTCTTAGCATAAATGTAATCCTTGTACTGACTACTCACTATGTATTTGTACCTGATGAGTGTGGGCAGCTTTTAACAGCTGTCCATACAAAACAAACTTGTAGTAATAAATGCATATGGAATTTTTCTAAGTTTGTCTACTTTGTTCGTTTTATATTAAAACTTAGCTAACAACAGGTAATTTTAAAGCAACTAGCACTGAAACCACAAATTATCCGAGTATATTAATTTTGATAAAACATTAAACTAATCAAACTATGAAATATCCGAGTCTGAACCTATCGAATGATACCAAGTATTGCTGATGTCAAGATTATATTTCTTGTGCATTATTACATTAGGTTGAAGACCTTTTATTCAATTTGTTACATATTACTTATGACTCATTTCATATAATCATATTTGCAGTATATTATTTTATGTTTCTACAATTACTGTATTAAATCTCGACTGTATTAAATCTCAGTCAGTTTTATTGGTATTCTATCATCAGTAGCAAAAATAGTTAGTTATTTCATGTACCGTCTCCTTTTAGGAGGTCGGTGGCAATGTTTCTCCATTCTTTTCTGTCTTTAAACATCCTGCTACAAGCTTGATATATCATCCCAGTCCATTCTTGAATGTTCTCAGAGCATTTCTTGCATGGTCTGCCTCGCATCCTTTTTCCATTTACTTTCCCTTCTAGGAGCTGTTTTTGCATGCCCTCCCTTCTAATAATATGTCCAAAGAATTTTAGTTTTCTCTTTTTAATTTCTTTAGGTAGACATCTTCTGGTGTTTGCCATTTCCAACACTTCTTCATATGTCATTCCACAAGTCCACGATATTTTCATAATCCACATTTCAAAATGTCTTCTATTTTGGCAGGCAAGGTCCATGTCTCTGGCATACATAAATGTGAAGATGACATAACAATTAACGAGGCGCAGCAGCAACAATACCAATCTCATTTTTCTGTAATAATTTAATATTTGGTTTGTTGCCAATAAAGTGAATTTCTCCATCATCAATTGGCTCTAATTTTGGCAATTCATTGATCCGTTCCTTCAAGGCTTTTGTAACCTTAACACTTGATTCCATTGCCATGGCTTCATCACTCTTTAATAACTGATCAAGTAAATTCAGCTTAGTATTTACATCAGAAATAATTGCCCTCAATTCATGAGTCTGAGTTTCAGTTACTTTTTTTTTCTCTTCATATATTTTCTCCATTTCATTTTTCAATTCCTTTTCTTTATCCTTGCTTCTTTTGATGATTGCTTTGACACAGTTTTCAATATCTCTTGAACAGGTGTCTTTAGATTTGTCCAAGTTTGAAGCATTTTGAAGAACCTTTGTTAGGCCGTCTTGTATATTGTCCTTGTAGACACTTGCATCTTTCTTCAGTTTATCTGAAATTTCTCGAAATTCATTGAATAATTCGGAAATATCCACCGGTTTATGATTTCCGTCAGCTACATTGTGTTCAGTAATGGCACAATGCATGCAGATCGGTATATTACAACCTTTGCAAAAGAACTTCAAACGTTCATTGTGCTGTGAACAGAGAGGGGGATGGAGGGCTGCAAGCTGCTGTGGACTCATTTGCAATATGTCTTGCTTCAGATGCAGTTGATGGTTTGTGAATCCTCTGAATTTAACATGGTAGTCTCTACAGGAAGGGCATAAATACTCCCTACAATCCTGACAATAGTACTTTGTCTTTTCACCTTTCCCACAAATACACTCATGTTCTCCATTCTCAACTTGTTCAACGATCTCCAATAAGTTATTGAGGAATGTGTTTGGAGGTAAGTTCTGGAGCCCGCCCTCTGGAATTGGGTAAGATTTCAAGCAGGTTGGACAGCTTAGGGTTCCCTTGGCATTTATCCAGTCCTGCAGACACGCCTTACAGAAGCTGTGGAGGCAGTTCAGAGACTTTGGTTCTTGCAGTCTTCTGAAACATATCATACATTCCAAGATTTTTTGGTCAAGATCATCTAAAAACTGATTCAATCTATGCTCAGCCATTGTCTGTGTTAATAATTCTGTGAATATAATTGATAAATATGAAAATCATTAATTATGCATCTTGATTGACTAACACATTTTGTAATTCAACTGTTGTCTTGTAGTGAGCACCATGTGAATTTACTGTAGAAAAATGTATACAGTAAAATTATAATATAGGCGGAGAAAATACATTTCATAAAACATTTTTTTCAAAGGTACTATAAACAAAGCAAATGAATTAAAATATTTTGTTTTATCTGAGTCAAAGAAAATAACTCCCCATGATACAATAAATTGAATTAATGAAAGAGAGAACAACCACCAATTTCTCCTCTGCAATAAAATAAATAATTCCCTAAAGCCTGGTTTCCATAACAATATATCACCGACTCCTTTGGCCATGCGGATTGGTCAGTTGAATCAGAGCATTCCCTATTGAATTGGGGACAACTACGAAGTGCAATGCTTGCAGTGAAAACGCTGTAGCGACTGTGTAGTGATTTTATGGAAACCTAGCTTCAAGCATTTCATGCAAGAAAAAGCCCTCTTCTTAAACCAGTTATTCTGGTATACCATGCAAAATAATTATTTGTAATTTTCTTATGATTTGAATATTCATATGTGATTTTTATTCAATGTTTTAGACTTTTTTTTAAAATATTTTCCAGTGAAACTACACATTTAGAGATAGAGCCATTTACAATACTTGGAGTGTGTGCTGGCCTTATTCCCTACCCTCACCACAACCAATCACCAAGAAACACCTACCAATGTGCTATGGGAAAACAAGCAATGGGTATGTACTTGATTTAGGCGGTAATTTAGTGGTTGTGGTTTTATGGTTATGGTGGTGAGGATAATGGTGGTGGTAGTGGTGATAATGGATGATGAGGTGGCAGTGGTAATGCTAGTGGTGCTTTTGGCAGTGGTGATTGTGATTCTGATAGGAATGATAGTGATAAAGATGATTAGGATAATGATGATGATGAAAATGGAAGTTTAAAATCAATTGGGATGAACAGATACTACCTTTATTTCTTCTTGATCATTTGACATACATTTTGATAGTGTATATAATATTTATTTATTTATGTTTTATTTATTAAGCTTCATCACTGCATATACAACGAGCAAAAGTAACAGGGTAACAAGACAGAAAGAGCAGCAAAAAGGAAGGGATGAACAGGTGTCAAGCACCTCTATCTATATTCCCCCTTGAACAAATTAACATCACATCAAACAAAAAAAGAGATTTGGAAAATTCCACAATATAAGATACAGAAAACTACACAAAAATGTATAGAAACAAAGACATAAATACATTGAACATTATAGAATACATATTTTAAAATTATTACAAGAAAATTATTAAATTATTTGATTTATTTGATTAAACTAATACATGTAAAAAACATTAAAAATATATATAAAAACATTGGATATTATAAAAAAGAGAAGTTATTGAATTATTAATTATTTGTTTATTTTATCTACAATAAATAAATATGACACTAAAATTGCACAGAATTGATTAAAATCAAACAGAAATTGCAGAAAGAGAGTTATACATATTATTAAGTATATTATGAAAAGAGAAGTTATTAAATTATTTATTTGTTTATTTACTTTAACCACAATACATAAATAACATCAAAATGAACATAATAATAAACACTTAAAACTATGAAGATATGAATTATAAATATTAAATATATTTTAAAAATTCAGAATTATTAAATTATTATATACAGTATGTGTTTATTTAAACTACAATATATAACTTACATAAAAATAATAGCATGGACCTATTAATAAGACCTTGTTAATAGGTCCATGATAATAGTAGTACTGAAATTTAAAATATGTTTTTATTTAATTTGTAATAAGAATTATACTTGCTCTTGTACAGGAACGATTGGTTACAACCAGAGAAATCGCATTGATACCTTGATGTACTTGCTAGCATATCCACAACCACCGCTAGTGAAATCTAGAGTGAGTTTACATACTGTACTCTGAACACTCTAATTAATACCATACCAAATGTATATTTGTTCAAGTAAAATAAACAGAAAGCATTCAAATGCTGAAATTTTCTGTTTGATTAAGATAAACATTGAAATTTAAATGACCTAATGTAAAAAAATGGGCAATATAAATTTATAATTGATATTAATTAATTTTTTATCCTTGTTTTTGCAGTGCAATGTCACAATATTGGCAATAAAATGTCAATACCGAAAAAACATACATATAAAGAGCAAATACAAAGTCCAACTGTGAAATAAACCTAAAACTAAACAGTAACAGTAAAATTTAAATTTGTAATGGTTGATTACAAAAATCAATAAAATTGAAATAAACAGGAAATTTTTAAATTCCATACAAAGATTTTATCAAAATATAGAGGTGTTAAATTTGTTGAATATTGCACAAGGCTTGTGGATTATTAATTATTGTTTAAATATGATTCTATCAAACATAATAATTATCATTATAACTAATAATACATTTCATTCATAGCTCTTGCCTTAAAATTGATTATAAGATAAATGTCATGAAGATTCAAATTGTTTTGCTAATTTCAGACAATTGATCTTATCAATTTTGATAAGATACCAGCTGGGCAGAATGCTTGTGTTGCTGTTATGAGTTACAGTGGATATGATATAGAAGATGCCCTTATCCTCAACAAGGCATCTGTTGACAGAGGTATAACTACACTGTATATAAGTCTTCTATAGAATTTACTGTTCTTTTTGTTGGTTGATACATTATAGGAAAGAGTACGTAATATAATATTTTCCAAAATTGTGCGAAGAAAACAATATAAGAAGAAATGTGTTCTTGCAGTCTAAATTAGTGGACATCTGTTACTTAGCAACAAGAGCTTGTCACTAAACCCAATACACAAAGACAAAAGCTTACACAGGATACAGTAAAGTGAAGGAATTTGTCTCCCAGTTTACTGCCCCATTCATTACCTGAAATGGGGCTTACTGTGGATTCTACCACTTCCACAGGGGGTCAGACCAATTTTAAGTATATGAATTGTTTCTGACTTGTCAAGCAGTATTACAGTATAGGCCTACAATTGAATATACAGTAACTTGCAAAGCATTATTTTTCGCAGGATTTGGAAGATGCTTGGTGTACAGGAACCAAAAGTGTACATTAAAACGCTATGCAAACCAGACCTTTGACCGGATGCTGGGACCTCTGCTGGATCCAAATACACGCAAACCACTATGGAGACACGATATCCTGGATGCCGATGGCATATGTTCACCAGGTTAGGAAGATATCTAATAATTATTATGAGTATAATAATGCTGGGTAATTTATATATATGTATAGCTCTTTACAAACATGTACATCATGCAGCTGTTCTGCTTCCTGGGGAGATTTCCTGGTGATTCTTGCAAATCACTGCACCTAAACTAATATATTGTTATTGTTATTTTAGTATTTGTGTAGCACCTGTTCCTTAGGGTTACAAAGCGCTTTGTTGTCCCTGATCAATAGGTCCACATGCTTAAGTGTTGCTGCCATATATTAAGTGGGCCCCGGAACATCAGACGTGTTCAGTAAGGGTTGCCCACTCAAATTATGGTTAAAAAAAAAATAAATAAATAAATATTGGCACAGCAAGCAACCCCACCAGGTACCCATACTCCTGGGTAAAGAGAAGCATTGCAGAAAATGTGCCTTGCTCAAGGACACAAGCGAAATTCACAGTGAGGGATTGAAACCCCGACCTCGAAGTTGGGAAACTAAACCGTTCCCGCTACACCAAACCGCTTCCACAATATACTGCAACATCCCACAATATACCCACAGTATGGGATTCGAACCTCCTACCTCAAAGTTGGGATGATGAAATACAACCATAACTCAAATCACTCCATATTATTTTTGATTTTTTTTTATATTATAAATATTTTTATTTTTATAGGTTTTTTGGTATATAACCAGTACAATTAACGTTTATTCTGTTGCAGATAATTTAACCTAATGTTATCACTTTTTTTTTTTTTAACTAGGTGAAAGAGTGACAAACAGACAAGTCTTACTCAACAAGTCTGTGCCAAAGGTCACCAATTCTACTCTTGTTACACCAGGAGCAGAGAGAGAACAGAAGCAAACTGACTACCAGGATGTTCCAATAACGTAAGTCAGTGACATGTATCTCATTATAATATTGTGGTGAGTATTGTCGTGTGTATCAGTATGTAAGTTAACTATGGCTATGTTCTCAAACGGCAGCTAACGGTTAGCAGGATCTGGATCCTACTAACCGTTAGCTGCCATGCGTCCATGCAAGAAAACCCCGATCCGGATACCAACAATATGATGATCGAATCACTGGCCAATAAGAAACTGGAAATTGTAAACGCGTATGTGTGATTGGTTGATGATAGAAACACCCTCAGCTTGCTAACCGATAGCGCTTGTTAACTGTTAGCGGTATCCGGATACCACTAGCGGTTAACACTAACTGATCGGACGTTCTCTTTGCTGTTAGGTATAAAGGCCCAGTAGATTCTTACATTGAGAAAGTGATGATCAGCTCAAATCCAGATGAAGCCTTCTTAATCAAAGTTCTATTGAGACAAACAAGAAGACCTGAACTTGGTGACAAGTTCAGTAGCAGGCATGGTCAGAAAGGGTACGTAATCCATTTTTTAATATAAAAAACATGTACAATAATGGAATTTGGGTGAAATAAGTAAATAAAGTACTAAATCACTAATAATATAGATATTGAACTACTTCAAATTTTCCAAACCCAAAATTCATGTTCCAACCTATTTTGTATTTTATTATGTCACTAGTGAGTGACACTAGTTTTATAATTGATGGTCACATACATTGTTCGTGTTGTAGAGTTTGTGGACTTATTGTACAGCAAGAGGATATGCCATTTAATGATCAGGGTGTGTGCCCAGATATCATCATGAACCCACACGGTTTCCCATCGCGTATGACAGTCGGTAAACTCATGGAGCTGCTTGCAGGTAAAGCAGGAGTACTAGATGGGAAATTCCATTATGGAACAGGTAAGTTTTACTTATCTCAGAGTGTTGCCTTTTTTATTCTTGTTTTTTTTTTTTTTTTTTTTTTTTTTTTTTATTTTCTTTTTTTTTTTGTACTTTTTAATTCCTGTTTTTATGCACAATGTTTTTTTTTTTGTTTTTTTTTTGCTGTTTCCTAGCATTTGGAGGCGATCAAGTTAAGGATGTCTGTCAAATCCTAATTCGCCATGGTTACAACTACCTTGGCAAGGACTACCTGACCAGTGGCATAACAGGGTAAGAATTTTAATCATAATCATAAAAATAATATTTATAATAATAATCATAATCATAATAATAACATTTATTATATTCATCATGGTGCACCAAAGTATCATTTTGTCAATTCATTTGTATATCATTTTTCATGTATACCACAGATGTATTTGTTTCTTTCAGTGAAGCATTAAGTGCCTATATCTACTTTGGTCCAGTTTACTACCAGAAACTGAAACACATGGTATTGGACAAAATGCATGCCAGGGCTAAAGGCCCCAGAGCTGTGTTGACAAGACAGCCAACAGAAGGCAGATCAAGGTACTTGAAGTCAGGCCTAGCTAGTTGGAGGCTTGCCAGACTTATAGGGTGCCCCTTCAGATAGTGATTATGTGATAAATAAGATAGAGTCTATATTATATTTGCACATCCATTAAACTGTTTGTTCATAAACATCATAATTATACAACCATTATTTTTTTTTTCTGTAGTTCTAGTACAATAAATCTAAACTGCATTTAATAATTGAATACAATATTTGTAATAATTATATTACTCATAATTAGTTACTTATTTGTTTAATTTTCTCTTTATAGGGACGGCGGTCTCCGTCTAGGAGAGATGGAGAGAGATTGTTTGATTGGCTATGGAGCCAGCATGTTGCTTCTAGAGCGTCTCATGATATCAAGTGATAAGTTTGAGGTTGATGTTTGCGGAACATGTGGTCTCCTAGGCTACTCAGGATGGTAAGATTATTTATTCAAATTTATTCAGAACTAGTTATAGCAGTATAGAAGCTCAGAATGGACATATTCAATGCCTTATGCAGGTTTAGGCATAGATTGACCAATGCATGTTAAACATGTCTACCCAACACCCACAAGTAGCTTAGTTTCATTGGAACTACTGTAATCTCTGGTCACTCAAACACAAATTTGAACTTAAACTTCTTATTAAAATGTATCCATGATTTTTTTCTTCTAGACATTTCTCAATTTAAGTCAAATAACCACAGAAACACCAGGAGTAGATCCAGAGAAAAATCTTGGTAGGGGCATGTGATGGGCTCTGCACATAGGTGGGGTCTGTGCTTGGAATTTCAATTGCTAAAAAATGCTTGACCACAGACTGGTATATGGAATTTAAATAAAAAAAACTTAGTTTTGGAGTACTGTGTACCCCGCTTTTTTGCTTCTCTCTTATTTCCTCTTTTTTGAGGGCCTTATACCTGTGTACCCCCCCCCCCCCTTGAATTGCCCTGAACACTGAACAGATCAAATATATATAATGTAATTGTAGATATATGCTACTTGTTCAAACCAACATGGAAGTTTGGACAGGACTTTGGGGTTCAGCAGTATTTTTTTTTTTCACCTTCCTACAGGTGTCACTATTGTAAATCATCACGCAACGTGTCTTCGCTGCACATTCCCTACGCCTGCAAACTACTCTTCCAAGAACTACAATCTATGAACATTGTGCCTAGACTTAAGCTCCAGAAGTACAACGAATGATAATGGTTGATGACATTATTTAAATGTTAGAGGATGTAGAACACTGGTTTGAGTGTGGTGTAAGTTGGCCTAGACCAAGAGACATGTGGACTTGACTTCCAGCTTTATTTATCTTCAGAATTTTGCTGAGTAAATATGGTGGGTTAGACTAATCCCAGAGGAATTATTTTTGTAGAATTGGACTAGGCAGTAATACCAGGTGTACAGTAAGCAAGAAAGTGACCTATCCCCTAATTTAAGAAGTGCTTTAGGAAGTGGCTAGCCTAGACCTATCAGCCAAGGGTATTGTAGGCATTTATTGGCTAAACTTGGCACAAAACCATACAGTTCAACAGAAAAGTCATTAACATAGGTTGGTTGGCACTGAAGAGGCAGTGAGTGGATTAACCAATATAGGCCTGTCAAGGGTAGAGTTGTAGGCATATTTTTCCTAAACTTTACAGAAAGGCAGTGAAGTGGGAATGAAACAGTTCAACAGCAATAAATTTACATAGAATGGATTGCCTGATATTAGAACTGTCAATTTGAATGCTGGAGTTTGCACAATCAAGTAATTTTATTGATGAAGAGAAAAAAACAATTTGTTTATCAATACATCAATGTAGTAAACATGAGATGGGGATACAGTCTACATT